AAAAAATTTTTAAATGCCCTTTATTCTTATTTGCTGTTTCTATGCCAAACTGTACATCAGATGAGGAAAATGTTAACACAGCTTGTCCACTGTTACAACCCAGCATTAGGCTGAATGTAGAACAGCCATTTAAAGGCAATGTACTAAATGAATGGTTTAAAAATTATTTCTAAGACAAAGATTCTAAAAGTAATTGAGAGAAAGTTCTCCCAAGCCTACCTGTAAGGACGTCAGCTTCCCTTCCATGTTTTCGGCCTTTTTCTTCCATTCTCCTACAAGCTGTTTTTGCTTTTCCAGCTCAGCAGAATACATAGCTTTTTCCTCTGAAGGGGAATACAAGTTATGTTAGTACCCTGGAGTTGTGTGATGTCACCAGAATTTTAACCACTTCATATTTAGAGTACTCTGGTGGCATAGTCTGTAGGAAGTTGTGCTGCTAACCCAGGGGCAGTATCTGACGGTTCAAATCCACCGCAGCTCAGAGGGAGAAGGACGAACAATCTCCTCCCTTGCTCTTTACAGCCTCAGAAAAAAATCATTTGAGGGTCAGCTATGAGTCAAGTCTGTCTCAACGGCAATGATTTAAGTTTCTGAGTTTAATATTTTAATAATGTAACAAATATAGTTCAAGTGCTTTCTTTTTTATGTAAGGAATTTACTTATTTACACCAGCCTACCAAACCCATTCTTTCTGAAGGGATTCCAAGCTCCAGTGATGCTGGATGAACCCTGGAGGCCAGAGAGCAGCCGAGGTTTCCCAGTCCATAAGTCGCTATGGGAGCAGACTGACGCAGCTTTCTCACATGGAGCAGCTGATGGGTGGGTATGAACTGCCAACCTTTTGGTTTAACAGCTGGGCGCTTTATCCACCATGCCATCACCAGGGCTCATTTGCTTATCCATACACTTAAGTAATCCAAAAGGTTGGATTACAGCTCTGTTAAAGCTGCAGGTTTAAACATTTATATTTACATCCACAGCCATTACAAGAGCACAGCACCACGTGTGGAAGAGCGCAGGGTCTGTGGGGCCAGCAGAGGCTCACGTGGGAGAGGGCAGGGTGCAGGGAGAAGGTGACAACAAGTGAGGCAGGCTTCACAGGACCGCCAGCTGGGCCACTTCCCATCGGGTTCTCATGCTGCGAGCAACATCTATGTTCACCAAGAACTTTACAATATTGTTTGAAGACAAACGTGGCTTTGGTTAAAACATATCTAATACATAAATGGGCCATTTAGGGTTAATCTGTAGAAATTCTACAGTTGAGTCTGATAATGTGAACAATGGGAATTAACCGCAGGGAGGTGTCTATACAACGTTTCTTGTCACGAAAATAATTCTTTAAAATATGTCACTCCATGGAAAGTACTGGACTAAAAGCCTAAAAGCTTTATGTAAACTATATGTTTCTTTAACAAGAAAATGGCGTGCCTGTGCAGTAAATTTAAGTGGAATTACAGTCAGGAGATCAGGGTACTGCTTCAGTGTGTCCACCGTGCAAGTTCTCCTCCGCCTGGGGAACATCCCTCAATCCCTTCTTCTTGGGCAATGTTTCTCTATGGCCTCTGTCCCACACTGCTTTGTACACCAGTTCAGAATATGTGGTCATTTATAGAAGAGGTCTAGTGAACTCTTCCATTTCAGATTCAAACCTTGGAGAAAACACATAACCCTGTTGTTGTTGTTGTTGTTACATACCGTCGAGTCATTTGCGACTCATAGCGACCCTATGTACAACAGCCCTAAACCGTGCTCTATCCTGTGCCAATCTCACTGCCTCTGACACACCCACCCCGAGTGCCCCAGTCACTGAATCAATCCACCTCATAGAGGGTCTTCCCCTCCTGCGCTGTCCCTCCACTCTACCCAGCATGATGTCCCTCTCTAAAGACCCGTCTCTCCTTACAACATGTCCAAAGTATGTCAGATGAAGCCCCAGAATCCTTGCCTCCAAGGAGCACCCTGGTTTAATCCTCTCTACGATGAATCTGTTTGTTTTCTTGGCAGTCCATGGTACATTCAGTACTCTTCTCCAGCACCACAGCTCAAAGGCGTCAATTCTCCTTCTATCCTCCCTAGTCATTGCCCAACTCTCTGATGCATAACAAGTGATTGCAAAAACCATGGCCTGTATCAGGTGGACCTTAGTCTCCAGAGAGACACTGTTGCTCTTGAGTATTTTGGAGAAGTCCCTAACCGCAGACTTTCCCATCGCAATACGTTTTTTGATTTCCTGGCTACTGGTGCCAAGAGTGTTGACCATGGAGCCGAGCAAACTGAAGCTGTGAACAATCTCAATCTCTTCACCATCCATAATGATGCTACCGATTGGTTCAGTGGTGAGAATTTTTGTCTTGACATTGAGCCTCAGTCCATATTGAAGGCTGCAGTCCTTGACCCTCTGCAGTGAGTGCATGAGGTCCTCCTCAGTTTCAGTGAGCAAGGTTGTATCATCTGCATAACGCAGATTGTTGATAGATCGTCCACCAATCCTAACGCCACGCTTCTCCTCATAGAGCCCAGCCTCTCGGATAATCTGCTCTGCATACATGTTGAAAAGGTATGGAGACAGGATGCATCCCTGGCGTACACCCTTCCCAATTCTGAACCATGCAGTGTTACCCTGCTCTGTTCTGACTACTGCCTCTTGGTCCAAGTATAGGTTTCGCATTAGCACGATTAAATGTTCTGGGATTCCCATTCTTCTCAGAGTCAGCCACAGTTTGTTATGATCCACGCAGTCAAATGCCTTTGCATAATCAATGAGCCCTGGAGGTCAGAGCAGCCGAGGTTTCCCAGTCCATTAAGTCGCATAACCCTGTAGGTCTCCTTAACTTCCATTTACAAAATCAAGGTTTTGCTCAGGCAGGAACCTAACCCTCGGTATTCTCATTCTCCCTAAACCACGCCCATCAGCAGTGCATCCCCCGCCTACCAAGTGTTTAATGGATGAGGAAACAATGGATGGGTGAACTGTCTACAGGGGGCAAACGTGAGGATGGGAAGGAGCAGGTTCTCTGGGTAAAACTGATCTGGTCGCTGTTACCATGACTCCAGAAAGGTATTCTAGACTGAAGAATGTAATCACTTCAGAATACAGAGCCCTGGTGGCACTGTAGGCAAAGCACTGGGCTGCCAAATCAAAGGCCAGCTGTTGGAACCCACCATCAGCTCTATGAGAGAAAGATATGGTAGTCTGTTTTTGTGAAGACTTACAGCCCTAGAATCCCTATGAGGCAGTTCTAACCTATCCCACGGGGGTCACTGTGCGTCAGAATCGAGGGATGTCAGTGCATCTGGGTTTGTCTGGATTATGCATGAAGAGTTAAGAGCAAGTTAATCAGTGTTTCAAAGACCTGAACTTCCAACCACTATCTCCACACCCGAGCATCTTCCTGTGTGTCTTTCCCGCTTCCTTCATGCTCACTTTTTATAATTAGATCATTCTCTCTTATTACCACTTATCTCCCCAGCTCATCCATTAAGTAATGGTTTATGTTCTCCAGTCTGGAGTAACACATGCCTCTAACAATGTGCTCGAGCACATCAGAGACAGTGAGGGTGGCAAAGAAAAGGGCAAGGTTCGGACCTGTTGTTTATAAGGTCAATGTGAGCGGCAGCTGATTTGATGGCACCTAACAACAATAAAAGGCTTGACTGTGAAAGGAAGCTAAGTGCATTTCTTCATGGTCACTTTCCCTTTCCCCTACAGCTGGGTAACCTTTCAGAGACCTCCCTAGCCTCATCTGAAATAACCTTCCAAGAACGCAAGATTCCCTCCTCGAATCTGTTTCCCTGGTGGACTGGCTGCACACCTCACCTTGCTGGAAGTGCTCGAGCACCATCTGCAGGTTGGAGAGCGACAGGGCGTACTGCTTCACTTGCTCCTGAGAGGCGGAGAGCTGCAGCGCCTTCTCGTCCCTCTGCTTGGAGACCAGGTTCAGCTGTTCCTGCAGTGACATCACTTGCATGCTGGCTTGATGGCTTCAAACGAAACAGTAGGAGGCAAACTGTCTCTCTCGGTTTACTACAAGAGCATACACCGCTCCCACATTTTCTTGCATAAAATTCTACTCAGAGTCTAAGGAGCCAGGTGAGTCTCTCTCATTGTTGCTCCTCTTTTAAAGATAACCCAGTCAGCCCGTCTGTAAAAGTGACTTTGAACAAATGCTCATTTTTAAAGAGTAAAAATTAGGTTAAACAAGATATGTCGGTAAAAGGAAAATTTACAAAAATTACAAGTATCTTGCAATGTCTGTGCTTCTAGAATAAAATGATAAAATGTATTTTATCATAGTTGTAGTGTGTAAAGGACCTTAAAGGTCATTTCTCTTCCAACTTCCAACCTAAAACAAAAGAGGTAACGACATCCCCTTGATATTTACTATTTACGATCAGCTGGAATTGACTACTTTCTTAAGTCTATCTCAGTGATGAACTGCTTTAAGTATTCTCTTTTACTTTTATTTTTTTTCTGCCTACATTCAAGATTAGTAAACCTTACTTTTGTTGCAAAAAAGAATTCACAGATCCTTAGGAGATCTATATAGAACCCATCTGGGCTTGGCTCACTGATGTGCAACCTTACTTTACAAACATATACAAAACACTACAACAGACTTCATCAGTTTTTAATACTCAGTTAAATGCTGCTTTAAGAGCACCCTAAGTTCATAAAATAAGCCCATTATGCTCACTGTGGAGAGACTTTAGCACCCTCTTGTGGAAAGAAGAGAAAGTAGACTTGAACTCTGTCCCCAGCTGTCCTTGGACTCTGCTCGCCTTTGCAGTGATAGTATGGATGAAATGACTGCATTAAAAAACCTAACAAATGTCTTCTGTCACTACTGGTAAGTAAAGGCCCCAGACACCAGAATCTGGTTTGTAGATCTGAGTTACACAACAAATATTTACTGGTATTCTACAAACTATGTGTAGAAGTATTCTATAGACTATGCGTAAGAAGAAGGAGAAGAGCAGAAAGTGGACATAATCACTTCTAACCTGGCAACCACACACTGCACTGGGTAGGAGACAGCAATCATCTGTACCCTAAAGTGCAGAATAAGAACCCCAATGAAGATTCAAGGAAAAGCAGGACATAGAGTCACACGAAGAGGGGGGACCAGAATACCTCCCAGGTGTTTGTTTTCAGATTTGAGGAGCAGAAAGCTAAATAAGGCACCTGTCATGAAGAAAATGGTCTCTGAAAACAGGTGGGGGTCAAAGGAAAACCCTCTGAGATCAGGCCTACCTTCCGGCAGAGGAAACAAAACTGAAAGGAAGAGGGAAAAGACACAGGAAAGCAGCTGCTCCCGTGAAGAACTGAGTGACAGTGCCTGGCTGGAATGCAGGTACAGGGCACAGTAAGGCTAAGGCAGAAGGTCGACTAGGACCACATCATGTGAATCCTAACTGGCTGTCCAGTCACAGATCTACAAGAAAGGTTATTCTCAGAGTTCTAAGAGGGGTAAATGAAAAGGGACAGAGACTGGAAACTAATTAGAGAAGACAGTCTCAGAGTTGAAAAACAGACTGGAAGTTGTAGCCAGAACATGTGATGGCATTTCTGCCAAACATGAAATACACACACAGATGATCATCCACTGCTGTCATTCTCATTTGAAACAAGTTTTCCTCTTGAATCTGAAGAAACAGTAACACATCCTACAAGAGGCAGTAAAGGAGCTTTCAAGAACATTCTCTGTGGCTGTGAAGTGCCACTGAGTCAGGTGTACCTCGTAACATCTCCACATGCAGCAGGAGGAAACCCTGCCCCATTCTACCCCGTGCTCACAATCTCTGCTGTACAGAGGCCAGCCACAGCCTAGTCACTGTGCCAATCCACCGCGAGCCTCCCTCTTTAATATGCTCTATTAGCCTGTAATTCCTAGAGACAATATCTACCATCTCCTGAAATCTCCCTCAGCAACCCTCAGCGTGATAAAGAGACACACAGACTTACTACTGCTGAATATCTTTCTGTAAGATAATTTAGCAATTCAACTCAAAAGTGTTTAAAATGCCTTCTGACCAAGTAGTTCTACTTCTGAAAAAGATGTCACTACAAAAATAATAAACAACACAAAAAATTAATAGTTATATCACAAGATCACATTGAACAATTTTGGATAGCTTAAGCATCCAATAAATGACTATATTAAAATATTATGCTTTTCAAATAATGGTCCTGGTCATGTAGCTACCCATTGAAATTGTTAACAATCAAAACTGTCAACAATTTCCTCTCACTTGGATGCACAATCAACACCTCTGGTACCAGAAGATCACGAGACGTACTGTATTTGATCCCTGCTGTCAGCGATCTGTCCAAATTACTGAGGAGCGTTGATGTCAGCTTGAAGACTAAAGTGTCCCTGATTCAGGCCATGCTGGCCTTTTCAATCACTGCGATGCACCTGAGAGCTGGACAATGAGTAAGAATGGGAGAAGACCTGACGACTCTGAACTGTAGTACTGAAGAAGAGTACTAAAGGATGGGCAGGCTGCTCCCATATGGTAAACTACTCCTGAAAAGCCACCGGAGGGTCAGCTGTGGGTCGGCACCAACTCAGAGGTACATAACAACAACAGATGCACACACATGTTGTTGTTGTTCTGTGCCGTCGAGTCGCTTGCAACTCACAGCGACCCTATGTACAACAGCCCTAAACCCTGTTCTATCCTGTGCCAATTGCACTGCCTGACACACCCATCCAAATTACCCCAGTCACTGAATCAATCCACCTCATAGAGGGTCTTCCCCTCTTGTGCCGTCCCTCCACCCTCTCAAAAGCATAAAAAGGGTCAAAAACAGATTACCTCTAAGTACATGCAACTATGGCTTTTTGTTTGTTTGAATTGCCTGATTTCCCTGAAGTTAATAGTTTACTGCTTGTGTTATGGGAGGAAGAGGAGAAAACATTTTATAGAGAGAAATTAAAGTTAAAAATACACAAGAAGAGACCTGATCACTCAAAAGTTCTAGTAAACTCAGAGTTCATTCACACTGACCTGGGGTCTTACCTGGCACCTTCCATATCATTCTCCCTTCTAATATCCACACCTAATACAACAAACTGTGACTCTGCTGACACATCCTTGCTTGCAGAAAGTGAAGACATAAGTACTTATTTCAGAAGATCTAAGACTACAATTATCAATATGAATTTTATCATAACATTAAAAAAGCAAAAATCATCCCTACTAGACCAACAGGCAACACTGTGATAGATGGAGAAAAGACTAAGTTGCCAACAATTTCATTTTACTTGGATCCACAATCAATACCCATGGTAACAGCAGTCAAAACATTAAAAAATGTGTTGCATTGGGAAAATCTGTGCTGTCAAGCATCTCTTTAAAGTACTAAAGAGCAAAATGATGTCATCCTAGAGATTAAGGTGTGCCTGATCCAAGCCATGGTTTCTTCAAATGTTTCCTTTCCTTGGCATCTGACAGTTGGATACTGAGTAAAGATGACAGAAGTAAATGCCTTTGAACTGTGGTGTTGGAGAAGAGTACTGAATGTCCCCTGAACTGCCAAAAGAACAAATAAATCTTGGAGGAAATGCAGCCAGGGTGCTTCTTAGAGACAAGGATGATGAAACTTTGTCTCACATACTTTGGGCATGCTGCCAGGAAGGGCCAGTCGTTGGAAAAAGACATCAAGCTGTAAAAGGTGGAAGGTCAGAGAAAGAAGACCACCTTCAACAAGATGGACTGGTACAGGATAGGATAGGGTTCAGATCTGCATGAATGCATCTATAACCCTAAGCATTGTAGTTGACTTGACAGCACATAACAGCAGTTCAACCTTGGATGACTGTCTAAGAATGAAAACATACATCAGTGCTTCAGGTGTCCAACTAAGCCAATTCATTAAGAATTTAAGTCTTATCTACTACAAGGATAAAAGGCAAGGGCAATGGTTAAAATTCATAGACCTCAGTTTGAACATCTGGTCTGTTTAAGAGTCAGAGTGTGAAATCTACTCACAATCTAAGAGTAGGTTACTCTCAATGCTCAGTTTCTCCATCTGCAAAATGGAGAGAACTGTGTGAGAATAAAATGAGCTAACATTCTTGGTGGTTTTTTATTTTGTTCACAATCGATTGTGTATGAGCTGACAGGATTTACTGGATTAGCTAATTAGCAGCTGAAGGTGGAAGTTGGAAGACTCTTGTTTAAGTCAATCAGGACCTGGTGAGTGAGCCTTTGTATTTACAAATCAGTTGGAGCCCTTGGGCCTGGTGTTAATTGTGTTTAGGAAGGACATTCTTCTAAGTGGTACAGCACTGGTCTGTCAATTTGCTGTACTAAGGTACCCTGGGGTTGCTATAATGCTGAACACTGTGCCACTGGTGTGTCAAATGTCATAATGGTTACCCATGGTGGACAATGTTTGGTGGAGCTCCCAGAGTAAGACAGGCTTGGAAACAGGAGTGGTATCCACTTCCTAAACAGCATGCCTTTGGAAACACTGAGCATTAGAGAAATGATGATAGTTATGGAACAGAGTTCATATCTTTTGTTCATAAGATTGCTATGAGTCATGCTCGATGTGACAGCACTTAATAACAACAACAACATTTAAAATGCTTACTGTATATGGCATTCAAAATGTGTTCAATTAAAGCAAATGTTTTAAAATTTTAAAAAACCCAAAATTACCTTGCATTTTCCATTGCCTGAGAAGATGAGTACAGCTTTTCCTCCAATGCTGTGACTTTCTTCCTAAGTTTAGCCTCCCTGTCTTCTGCAGCCAAAGCTTCGCGGGTGTAAGAATCTTCTGATTCTAAAAGATGGTTACGTAATCTCTCTAGCTCCTGGTTTAAGCGTGATTCTTTGTCACGTAAATGTTGGACCTAGGCAGAGAGCATTTCTTTATTTTTCTCCACAGAATGCTCCCATTTCCCCCCAGCACACTATTTTGTTATCAATTCTTTTTCCCATTATGAAGTGTATAAATAGTATACTAACTTCTCATACTGTAAGATGTAACTCTGATAGAAAAAAATCTCCTGAAAACACCTTGAATGTTCTGGCTTTGTTAAGATCTCAATTTCCATGGCTAAAAGGGGAAATGGAAGAATATAAAGCACTGGTCTGAGGAGGGAAAGCACTTCTCCTTACTTTTTGATTGAGACAGTTTTCTAATAACAAGATAAGTCATGGTTTCCATTTTTGAAAAGTGAAATAAAATACAGCCCAGGAGACCAAACTCTCCTACGGCAAATTAGGGAAGGAATACAAAAATATAACCTGAGTGAGAAATTCTTTTTATTGGACCACTCCTCCTGTTTTCTTACTGAAGAGTTATTCAACACACTGTTTGGCCCGCTGGGCCACTAAGGGGGATGCATACCTCGTTCTGCAGGGCACTGTTCTCCATCTGCTTCTGTTTCAGAGCCAACATGACCTGGTCTCTTTCCTGCTGAAACACAACCGTCTTCTCCTGCATTGACTTAACTGCATTTAAAAGCTGATTTAACTCCCCCGTCTTGCCCTTTTGGAAAGAAACAACTTTAGTTTTAAAGATAACTACATTTTCTAAAAGGTATTTTCTTCATCAAATAATTAAGAGATTTAGTTAACAATATCAAACTAAAAAAAACAAACCAAAGCCACCTCATTGTCAAGTCAGCCCTTCCCGGTGGGCTTCTGAGACGGCAGAACTCACAGGAGGAGTGTGCCTAACGGGACACTGGTGGAGCTGCAACACCAGAGGCCTGGCCTTTGCATTAGGAGCGTGATGCCTTACAGCCCAGGCCACCAGAGCTCCCCACATGAATTTTTTTTAAGGCAATTCTGATAAACTGTCAGTCTAGACGCCCCTGAGCAGACATGACAATTAAATGTGGAGGATGAGTTCATGCGTGGGACGCTGGGACAGGAAATGGACAGCTGATGAAAATCAAAGTAAGCAGAATAAAGTATGAGATTTAGTGATCATCATATTGGCTCATCAGCTGTGACAAAACTAACACAGTAATAACAATGAGGAAAACTAGATTTGAGCATATGGAAATTTCACTATCTTTTTGTAAGCTTTCTGTGAATTAAACAATCAATATATTAAACTATTCTAAAACAGTAAAAATACAAAATTTTAGTGGTTTTTAAACAACCATAAGAGATAAAATCTGATCACACTTACCCCATATAACTGTTTATAAACTACAAAATCACCCCAAAATGTCCATGTTTGTTTAACCGTAAAAGCTTGCTATCAGGCGCACACCATCGCTGGCTGCGGGTGCCTCCTGGCAGCACCAGAGCAAGTGCAACACCCCAGTGCAGGAGGAGAAGCCTTTGCTGCTAATGCTGGGTCAGGAAGTTTAGGGGCACAGCCGGCGTTTGAAAAGGCAAAAACATCTCGGACCAGTTACAGCGGACTCTTCCATTTTAAATAGTCTTATCAAATGAGTCTATGTATATTAATCTATTACTTCAAACTTTCCCTCTCTTGAAAGAACACTCAATTTGTCCTTTAGGACAAATCCTTAAAACAAAATGTAGAAACAAAACAAAAATGTAGAAACACTGGCTGTTCTCATTTCAACACCTCCTCCTGCATAATGACGCCAAAATATCCCAGAGAGTTGAATAAGTAAATGTGTATGGTGAAATCACTATAGTGGAAAGGCTGAGACAGGAGTATTTACTGACACTCCCACGGGGGAAGAGGGTGCTGGTGGTACAAAGAGGTAAGCACTTGGCTGCTAACCCTAAAGATCACCAGTTCAAAGCCAACCAGTGGCTCCAGAGGACAAACACCTGGTGACGGGGTCTGGAGTCTAGACAACCTTACGGAGGAGTTCTCTGTTCCACAGGTCCCTATGAGTCAGTGCAGACCTGATGTCACCCAACAACTATGTGAAAGCAAGACTCATGGCTAACACATCCACTTCCAGGCTGACTTTGAACTGGTGACTCATAAAGATCCATTTACGACTTTTTATCTTTTTAACAGAGTTTCAGGGTAATTTCTGGTTCCTGAAATTTATTTCTGTTGTATATGCATGCGTGGACACACACATATACATGCACATGTTCACTGGGTCCCAAGTAAAACATAATTCTAACTGGAGATCATAACCAAAGATACTTAAGGTACAGTGTAGGGTATGTTTCTCTATATATATAACAATCTCTACACTGTTAACCATTCCCAGCATCTACTGAAATGCACTTTGGATTTTCTTAAGTGGCAGTGATTTCAAAGGAAATGCAACCAGGTTGCTTCTTAAGAGGTGAGGACAGTGAGCCTTCATCCCACATACTTTGGGCATGTTGTCAGGCAGGGTCAGTCCCTTAGAGAAGAACACCATGCTGGGAAAGGCGGAGGGTCAGCGAAAGAGAGGTAGACCCTTAACAAGATGGATCGACACAGACTGCAACAATGGGCTTGAGTGCATTAGAGAGTGAGGATGGAGTGAGAAATGCAAGGTTCAGACCCACTGTCCACAGGGTCGCTGTGAATCCTAGTGCGGTCCATGGCACAGAACACCAACAACAAAGGAAAACACTAATAAAGATGAAATTCTTTTTTTCTCTACTAGCAGGCTATAATAAAAAGTCAGCAAAGTTCAAAAACGTATTTGGGAGTGCCAATTTTTTTGGAAGAAACGCTTAGGTATCTCAAAGGAAAATGTACTTAGAATGAATCACAGTATTCTGAGAGAAGTATTTCTAGATGAGTCAATCCAAATTCTTCTTCCAGGACAGAATCAATACGTAACATTAGAAAACCCTCCTCCTCCACTCCTGCTTCCCGCTATAATACTCCCTCCAAAAACATACCTGTTCTTTTTCTTTCAACAGTTGCTCAAAAGCGAGAGCCTTCTCTTTCATGGTGTGGCTTTCAAACTCTTTCTCACGCAACATCATAGAAAACTTCGCATTTGTCTCTTGCAAAGCTTGATACTCTGTCTCCTTTCCCCGGGACACTTCTACTATTTTCTCGTTTTCCTCTTTAAGTTTACAAATATCCATTTCTAAAATTAACGTTCTCTCCTTCAGGTTTGTCACTGCCTGCCTCAAAAGTTCATTTTCATTCGCCTTGTTGGCCAAGTTTTCATTCAGAGAGAGCAGCTGATCACTTTGGGTTTTGATTAAGAGGTCTTTTTCCTTCAAGAGATTGTGTAAAGCATCGTGTTTCTCCCTGATCTGCTTCATTTCTGAGTCCGCCTGCTCGTGCTCTCTCCGCCCCAGCTCGGAGGTGGCTGCGATGGAGTCCGACAGTCTGTGATTATTTTCCTGGAGAGTCCGAATGGTGGCATCTCTGTCCTGCAGTGACTTCCGAAGCTCGTCAAGCTCCTGTTGAAGCAAGTTAGCTGACTCACTCGCATCATCGGGCTTACTGGCCCTCAGCGGTTCTGCTGTCTGGGAGGTGAGTGAGGAGAGCTGTGGAGAAATGACATCCAACTTCCCTAAAAGAAGGTCCTTGGTACTGCACAGCTGCCCAATGCTGTGCTGAACCTGGGCTAACTCCTGGCCAAAGTTCCTGAGTTTGGTTTCATTCTGTTCGTAGCTTTGGATCAGGCCAGTGTAGTCCACCTGTAACCTGGAGTTGTTGTCGCTGTCGACAGAGACCTGTGCCTGCAGCTGGTGAAGCTCCTCCTGGAGCTGGGCCGACTCGTGCTGCATGTTCTGGACCGTGGTCATCACCTGCTGCTTCCACTCCTCCATCTTCTTCACCTGCTGCTTGAGTTTGTCACGCTCCTGCAGTAGCTCCTCGAACTGATTGCTGTTCACACTCCCAGCTTCGCTGTCGGGGCCGGAGGTCTGCAGGACAGTCAGCAGAGTCTGGCACTTCTGACTCAAGGCGTCGATCTCGATGTCTTTCTCTCGAATGATACGTGATAAGTTCTGCACTGTTTCTCGAAACATGTCCTGGCCGCTACTTTCAAAGCCCGCAGACAATCGTGTATTCTCCTCCTGCAGTTTCGTGAGGGCTGCTTCCCTGGCAGCGACTATCTCCATCATTTTGTGATACTCCGTTTTCAGGTGGCTATTCTCCCTCGTCTTATCACTCAGGACAGCTAAGACTTTTTCTCTCTCTGTGACATAGGCCTGCACTTGCTGCTGAAGGTAGACGACGTCTTGGGTGTAGGAAGCTGAGGAGATCCTGGCATGAAGAGTCTGTATCTCCACATCTTTCTGCTGGATAATCTGCGTTAGCTTCCCAACCTCATCTTTGGACAGCTGATCAATCTGTTTCGTTAAAGATATATTCTTTTCGTTCAGAAGTTTAATCTCCAGCTCACGCTCCTTTATTCCTTTCACCAATCTCTCCGTTTCGGCCTTCGACAAGTCATGCTTTTCACTTCCATTTTCTATACTAAGGCTCTGCACTTTGGTTTCTTGGAAAATATCTGCATTCTCTGTTCCAACGCCCCGTCTTTCCTCCTGCAGCTGGCCTCTGGTCTGGCCTACCGTGTTCTGCAAGCTCTTCATGTCCTCGCCTTTCTCGAGGAAGAGCTGGGCGTTCCTGCCGCTCATCTGCTCGTGCTGATATTTAAACTCCTTCATCTCCTTCTGCTGCTCCTGTAGAGACTGAAGGAGCTGGCTCTTGCTTTGGTTCTGGTCGTCAAGCAGCTTCTGATACTGTTTGATTTCCCCCTCAAGGTCACCCTTGATTATATTCAGCCGAGATACCTCAGACTCGAGTTCTGTGGTGACGTCTAGGGTCCTGGGGTCAGTCACAGGAGCTGTGCGGCTCTGCTGTTCCCGGAGCCTCTCCAGTTCTTCCTTCAGGTGGTTGTTTTCCTCCTTCATGGCTGCAAGACTCCGGTCTTTCTCCTCCACACTCTGCTTTGAAGCATCACTTTTTCTCAAGGCCTGAGTATATTTATCTAATTCCTCCTGAAGCACTAAGGTTCTGCCTTGAAGTTTTTCAATAACCATTTCTTTCTCTTCTATCAGCTGCGTCAACTGCTTCTGTTCTTCCAAACTCGATGACAGGATCTCTTTCGTTTCCTGGTGATCCGCGTTCACCTGCTCGACATTCCTTTTGAGCTCTGAGATTTCAGAGTCTTTGTCTTGAGTGACTCTGATTAAGCGCTCGTGTTCCAGCTGCAGAGCTGAGCTGTCCAGGTTCCGAGCGTTTGACAGTTCTTCAATGGTCTGCTCAAACTGCTTTGTTCGTTCCACCAACCTCTTTTCAGCCTGACACAATTCCGCTTCTAACTGTCCTTTTTCCAGTTTTAGAGACTCCACTATGGAGTCTTTTTCCAGAGACATCTGATTATGGCGAGCAAGAGATTCCTGCAATTGATGTCTTACATCTTCACATGTTAATGCCAATTTCTCATTTTCCATTTTGAGGTCAAAGGTAGCTTTCTCTAAATCTTCATTAATCTGTTCCATTTCTGAAAGATCTTGCTTCAAGTTTCTAAGTTCGGCTTCCCTTTCTTTAAGTAAACCATCCTCAAAGTTACTGCTCGAGTCTTGCCCTAGAGCGTGCGTTAACTCATTCCTGACTCTAGAAAGCTCCTCCTCGTTCTGTCTAACAAGATCCTTAAGCTCAAAGTTCTCCTTCTGGGTGCTTAAATTATTTTTTTGCAACTCATTCAGCTGATCTACTAAATCTTTCACTTTATCCTCAAGCTTCTGTCTGGCTACATGTACATCACTAAGGGTCTGTTCACTTCGAATCAACTTCTGTTTCTGTACATCTAACTCCTCAGTAATGTTCATTTTATCATCTTGAAGTTGATCTACTCTCTTTTTTTCATCAGCTAAGTCCTGTTTTAGTTTACGGATCATGTTATCTCCTTCACATTGTTGTTTTGATAGTTGATCTTTCATCAAAATCATATGCTGAAAGAAAAATTAATTTTCATGGTAACATCAAAGATAATTTTATAAATGTCATACGTAATAAAAGAATCATCCTGAGATAGTTCTAATTTTTCTTAAAACAATTCACTTTTAAATCTCAGTATTTCCTGTAAAATTATTTATACCCTACAAGAAAATAAATCATTTTAGAGAATTTAAAAATCAAGGAAGATAAAGGGTTTATACCTGCTATTTATTTTGCAGTTTAAAAACTAGAACAGGGTCAGCAAAATATGCCTCTGGGCCCAAATCAGTTCTATTACCTGATTTGTTTTTGTAAATAAAGTTTTGCTGGAACTCAGCCATGCTCATTTGCTTACATATTAGACTAAAGCTGTTCTCATATTACAACAACAGAGTTAAATAGTTGCATTAAGATTCTGTGGCTTAAAAAAAAAGATTCTGTGGCTTACAAAGTTCAAGATATTTACTCTCTAGCCCTTTGCAGAGTAAGTTTGCCCATCCTTTTGACCAGAGTATCAATGAGCTAACTAAAGTATTAGTAAATCACAAGAGTAAAAGACAACCCCCACTTTTGCTTGCTGGTCCAGTATTCAGTCTACTGAGTAGACTTCCTGTCTAACTCACTGTCTTTGCTATAGTTACCTGTGTAGCTTCTTGGTTCTGTCTATCCAATTCTTCTAATTCAGCCACCAGTACTTCCTTTTCAGTAATACTTTGATTGAGTTCTTGTTCTTTTGTCTCCAGAGTAAGTCTTAACTTATTTAATTCTGCATTCATGTCTCTCATAGCTGTACTTTTCATTGTTTCATATTCATTGTTCAATTTTGAAAGTGATATCTGAAGTTCTTCCTTAAATCATAAAGGAAGGGGGAAAGCAACACATGCCATAAATTAGAAAAGACAAAAGATTCGTGCATAGACAAATACATATAGACACACAGACCAATACACATATGGATATTTTACAGACACACACATGTGTACAGTTAAAGTGAGAATCTATTTTAAATGTTCTTTACTGGAAACATTACTAAGCAATACCTCAATAATAACATGTCAAATTTACTAAGAAGTCTTATAGCATTCATGTACAATTTTACTTAAACCTTCAAGCAAAACATTTGTATAATTCTAGTCAAAGACATAATGAATTGCTATTATCCTCTAGCTCCAATCTCTTCTTTCTACTTTCCCATTTGAAAGCCTTTCTATCAAAAAATAGCACAAGAGGATTACAGGGCCTACCAGTACAGAGTTCCAAAGACTACAAAAACCTGGGCCATTTAGAAAAAAGGAGAACTGAAAGAGCAGACTGTAACAGAAGCGAGAACAGAATAAAAGAAATCTATCTAACTCGGCAAAGCGGGTATACCGCCTGGGGGACTGGAAAGACAAGGAATGCTGTGGGGCTCAGTTAAAACGACTGAGAGACACAAGTGACATTCAGTGGGGGGAAGGGAAAAGGCCTTATACCACAGAGGACCACACACACAACTAACCATTTTCCACCTATGTGTCACACGGTGTCCCCTGTGAGAGACACTGCTGAGATTCTAATGTGAAATGACGTTCAAGATCGAGGCTGAGGCATGAATAGCAGCCTGACATTTCTGATTTTTAAAAAGCAAGTTAAAGCACATATGACATAAAGCCTGGAAAGATAAATATAAAAATCAACTGGAAACGGGGAGTGCCTATGGGAAAGGAGCCAAGTAACACAAGTGTGAAGGATATCTTTACATTGTTTAGCTCTTTTTTCATCTTATGTGCTACTTTAAGAAAAAACAAAATTAGCAATTACATTGAGTTGAGACAACGGTCTTTAATTTAGTCATGCCAGCCGACAGTCGTCCTCTATTTAAGCACCTGTCTCAGCCATGGGATTACTCCACCAAGTGAGAAATCCTTCTCTCTACACCAACAGTGCGTTACAGAATCTGATCTATCCTTGCGACTTGCACTCCTCCTTCCCCAACACCATTAAGAAAATCCTGCCCACCACAGTGCACATTCTCTGGCACAAACAACCGATACAGACAGTTACTACACAGTACAGCACTCCAGACCTCCCCACCCACCTGTCAGACAGCTGCCGTCAGGTCCCCATCTGAAACCAAAATAGGGCCTTTAGTACATCTGTTCTGCTCATATCTGTGTGTCCACGTGGCTTATCTCTAAACGTAAACCCTGACCAGCCTCTCATACTCTGAACCTTGCCCAGTTTAACTTGGCCTGACAAGCACTGATGAGATCAGATTTATTCTAAGGACTCTCAACAACTAAACATTCCATTCTGATAACACGCTCGGCCCTCAGCTGTGATCAAGAATAAGTGCTCCGTTTTCATTCTACCCCTACTCACCTTTTCTTGAATCAGTAATGAATTCTCTTTTTGTAAAGCCTGCACATGCTGCTGAAGGTTCTGACTGTCTTCAGTGGAACTGCTTTGCTACAAAAAGATAAATGAAACGTGTTTTCAGACATTCAGATGGCCAACAAGCACATGATGAAATGTTCAAAAGCCCGAGCTCTAAGAGAGATGCAAATCAAGACAACTATGAGATATCATCTCACCCCAGTAAGAATAGCAGAATTTAACAGAACAGCAAACAACAAATGCTGGCGAGGTTGCAGAGAAACTGGAACCCTTATTCACTGTTGGTGGGAGCGTAAAACGCCGCAACCACTGTGGAAGGTGATGTGGCATTTTCTCAAAAATTTGCAAACAGAGATACATTTGACCCAGCAATTCCACTACTGGGAATATACCCCAAAGAGACCAAAACTGCCACCCAAGCAGATATATGCACATCCATGTTTATTGCAGTTTTGTTCACAATAGCAAGGAGTTGGAAACAACCTAACTGCCCATCAACAAAGGAAAGGATAGAGACGCTGTGGTATATTCACACAATGGGCTACTATGCTATATTGAAAAACAAGGAACTCATGCAATATTATTCAAAATGGGTGACCCTGGAGGACATTATGCTGAGTGAAATATCTCAGTCACAAAAAGACAAATACTGCAGGGTGCCACTGTAGTAAAACAGGACTGACCTTGGGGTTGGGGGAAGACTGAGAAAAACTGGATAAATTATGTATACTGCATTGAAATAGATAAGGGAGAAAACAGTTTAAAAGCATCATATGACAGGGTATTACGGTTATGACAAGAGTCCAGAATGAAGGTTGCATAGTGGAATGTACTCGGGGGTGGGGGTGGGGGGATTGTATACCAATGAAGGAATTTTTCTTTCACATTTCAAAGAGAAGAGCAAACTGGGAGGAAGGGGTGGGCAGGGAGAAAAGTGCAACAATGGATAAATGGAAATTCAAAGTTTCTGTAAATGTTCATTAAAATTAATAAAATTTTAAAAATGTGTTTTCAGAGAAGTAATAAGAAATCTCAAGTTTACCAAAAAAGCAAAACAGGACACAGTTGTGCATTCCTACTTAGCATTCTTTAGTGATATTCCTCAGTGACAGTGTTCTACAGTGAACCTCATGCCATACGACCTAACAAAATATTACAATGGAATATGCAAATAATTGAACACAGGAAGAACTCAGCATTTCTCAAGCTGAAAGAACTGAAAAATATAAGCCTCAAGTTGCAATACTGAGAGATGCTATAGGCAAAATCTTGAATGATCCAGGAAGCACCAGAGAAAGAGAAAAGGAATACCCAGAGTCACTGTATAAAGAGGATTGGTTGACACTGAAAAATTTCCGGAAGGAACATATGAACAAGAGACAATGATAATTGATGTGGACGTTTAAGCTGCACTGACGGCAAAGGCAAAAAAATAAGGTCCTAGGAATCGATGGGCTACCAACTGACATGTTTCAAATAGCAGATGCAGCCCTGAATTTGCCCAGGAAATCTGGTGGACAGCTGCTTGGAACTCACTGGAAGATAACCTATTTGTTCCCATTTCCAAGAAAAGTGATCCAACGGAATATGAAAATTATCAGACAATGTAATTAATATCACATGCAAGCAAAATATTGATGATCTTCCAAAAACAGCTAGGTTAGAAAAGTTATGTAAAGGGGAGGGTTGGCTCATTTTAAGTTTTGTAGTTAATATATTTAGTTCTATGGCTAGAATAAATCCAAGTACGGTTACTGTTATTGCTGCTATTTTTAGGGAGAAGGGTAATGTGAGTTCGGGAAGTGATGAAGAAGGGATAAAGTTTGTTATGAGAAAGCCTGCGAAGATGCTCCCAATTGCTAAACGTTTAATAGGGTTAATCAAGTTACGGTTGTTCTCATTTGGTGTAATTATTGATTGAAATCGTGGTTGGCCTAAGAATACAAAGAAGATAATACGAGTACTATAAATTGCTGTTATTGAAGTAGCTAATAAGGTTGTTAGGAGTGCTCAGGCGTTGGTGTGAGATATGTTAGCAGTTTCGATGATTAGGTCTTTTGAGTAGAATCCTGTGAGGAATGGCATGCCTGTAAGGGCTAGGCTACCGATGATAAGGGCTGATGTAGTGAATGGTAGAGGTTTATCTGGGCCTCCTATTTTGCGAATATCTTGTTCATCGTTTAGGGAGTGAATAATTGATCCTGAGCATAGGAATAGTGTTGCTTTAAAAAATGCATGGGTGCAGATGTGAAGAAAAGCTAGGTGGGGTTGATTAATACCGATAGTAACTATTATTAAACCTAGTTGACTAGAGGTTGAGAATGCGATGATTTTTTTAATATCGTTTTGAGTAAGTGCGCAAAGGGCAGTGAAAAGTGTAGTAATAGCTCCAAGGCATAATGTAAGTGTTTGAATTGTATGATTGGTTTGTATTACAGGGTAGAATCGGATAAGTAGAAAGATTCCGGCTACTACTATAGTGCTAGAATGAAGTAGGGCAGATACTGGGGTTGGTCCTTCTATGGTGGAAGGAAGTCAAGGGTGAAGACCAAATTGAGCTGATTTTCCTATAGCTGCTAGTAGAAGGCCTAAAAGGGGGATAATGTTATAATTGTCATGTGAAAAGATTTATTGTAGTTCTCATGAGTTAAGGTTAGTTATTAGTCAGGCTATTGATAGGACAAAGCCAATATCTCCGATACGATTATATAGTACGGCTTGAAGGGCTGCGGTATGGGCGTCGGTTCGTCCGTGCCACCATCTGATTAATAGGAATGATATAATTCCTACTCCTTCTCAGCCAATGAATAGTTGAAATAGGTTGTTGGCTGTTACTAGAATTATTATGGTAATAAGAAAAAGTAGAAGATACTTTAAGAATCGGTTAATATTAGGGTCTGAATGTATATATCATAATGAGAATTCTATGATGGATCATGTCACGTAAAGAGCAATTGGGATAAATATTAATGAGAAGAAGTCTATTTTAAAGCTTAGGGATAATTTGATGGATTGAATAGTAGTTCAGTGTCAGTTGGAGATTACGGTTTCTTGATTGGTTAATAGAAAAATTATTAGTGGTAACGTGCTTGTAATGAATGCATATTGGATAGTTATTTTGACGTAGTGAGGGTAGGTACTTTTATTGTAGAATGAGAGAGAACTATCAAAAGTTCAAGCTGGATTTAGAAGAGGCCGTGGCACCAGAGATATTACTGCGGATATTAGATGGATCCTGACTGAAAGCAGAGACTACCAGAACAATGTCTATTTGTGTCTTATTGACTATGCAAAGGCATTTATTTGACTGTGTGGATCTCAACAGATTATGGCTAAAACTGAGGAGTAAGGGAATCCCAGAACACATAATTATGCTCATATGAAACCTAAACCTAGACCACGAAGCTAAACAGAACAAGGGAATACTGCATGGTTTAAAATCAGGAAAGGTGTATGTCAAGGTTGTATTCTATCTCCACACTTATTTAATATGTATGCAGAGCAAATAATCTGCAAAGAGCTGTGCTCTATGAAGTAAAATGTAACATCACCCTCAGAAGAAGACAGAGCAAAAACGTGTGTTATGCAGACAACAAATCTTGCCTGCTTAAAGTGAAGAGGACCTGAAACACTTATTACAGAGGATCAAAAATTACGGCCTTCAATATAGATTGCACTTCAATGTCAAGAAGACAAAAATCATAACCACTGGACCAATGGAGAAAACAGTACAGTGGGTAAGTTCGCTGTCAGGGAACTCTCCAAATTACTGAGAAGCAATGATGTCAGCTTGAAGACGAAGGTTCAACTGATTCAGGTCACAGTCTTTTCAGTTACTTGTTACGCTGCTGAGAGCTAGACAGTGAATAAGGATAACAGAAGAACTAATGTCTCTGAGTTGTGATATTTGGAGAAGATCCCATGGACTACCAGAAGAACAAATAGGTATGCCTTGGAGAAAACACAGCCAGATTACCCCCTTGGAGGCAAAGATGGCAAAGCTTTGTCTCATATACTGTGGACATATTGCCAGGAGAAGCTATTCCTTGGAAAGGGACTGCTTGAAAAGGGGGAGGGTTGCCAAAGAGATGCAGACCTTTAAGGAGATGGATTGACACAGTAACTGTAGCAACGGCAGCAAAAGAGTCAGAATGAGGAGGATGGCGCAGGATGGGACAAGGTTCAGACTTGTTCACAGGGTTGTTATGAGTCATACTTGACTTGACAGCAATGCAATCTAACGCCAGTCAATTTATCTAACAGACAAAAGGGTTTCATCATTGTGTGTTTTAAAACTTACATGATATTAAAACGCATTGTTGCTTTAATATATGATGTTTCTATTGCTTCTATAAACCTAACAATTGAAACAATATTATTCTTTCTGTTTCATTTTTTATCTTTCACATACTTTCATTTTTAAATAATGAAAACTTTTCCCATTAGATTGGTTTATAAAACAAAAAGTTATTATTATTGGCATATACATAAAAATACTGGGATGAAACCTCCAAGGGTAGTTCCCTGAATGGAAAAAGCACAAAATAAGCAACTGCTGACAAGCCATTGTTACACTGTGTTACACTGTTACCACTGCGTAAAACAAATGAACTCCATACCTGGTGTAAACTCTTCAGCCTCATGATTTCATTTTCAGCATCTGGAAAAACAACATATTTAAGTGCTTGATACTAAAAATCTTTAAAACAACGCAAATAAATGCTTCAATAAAATCTATTTCTATGTACACAAATGAGCAGGTATTAACTGTTCTGAGTGAAAGATAATGCCACATTCTATTTTTCCTGAATCAAACAATTCCTAATAGGAAAGTAGGATGAAGGTCAAGTTGAGAAATGCTGCTCTACGGAGAAACCAGCATCCAGGAGGCTTAGGGGGTGCCAGGAGGGAATCCTATCTAATGGTTGGGAGAGTTTTTGTTTTCCTCCTCTTCTTGTTCCCATCTGCCTGGCAGTTCCACTCTGTTTACTTGTAGAGGGTGAACGTTACCGGACTCTGGAGAGAAGTGGAGCTAAGTAGAGGAAGAGGCAGGAGAGTAAAGCCTGCTTCACGAGGGCAGAAGGAGGGAAGGAGGAAGGAGCGGGGAGACAGGGCAGAAAGGGGAAGGAGATAGGAAAGGTGCAGGAGGGACTGGGACAGAGAAAGGACTAGTGGGGAAAACCCCACGTGACACAGGTAGAAACTGGGGGAGGGCGGATTGGGGAAATCCTGTTAAGAGGAGGAGACACAGAAGAGCAAAAAGTCAGAAAAGCACAAGTAAACACAGAGTGAGTGTGTGAGCCTTTATGAAAGAAAACAGATCACAGGACTCTTTTAGAACAAGTGGCAACAATGAGTATTACCACTAAAGGGAATTTGAAAATATTAGTGTGCAGTTACATTCTAGGGCCAGCTTCAGATCTGTTGTTCACAGAGTCACAGTCGACTCGACAGCAACCAACAGCAGCTATATTCTCAACATGGGCCCTCCCCTTGGGCAGACGAAGTAAGCCTCTGCAGCCTCTGTTCAGAAGGCGTCTACTTTCATTATAGTCGCACACTCAAAAATCCACAATTATCAGTGTTTGTATGCCCTGGCTATCTAAGAACACATTAAGATATAGCACAACATTACATTCACTTCCATTATCTGCATCTCTTGAGTATATTCTTTACAAAGATACAGGTCTTTGTATGTTTCATATCCACGACAGAAGTCTAGAATGAAGGCTGTACAGTGGAGTGGAGGGACTGTATATGACAATGAAAGAATTTTTCTTTTGAAAGAGAAGAGTGAATTGGGGGAGGGAGGTGGAGGCAGGGAGAAAAATGCAACAATGAATGAAAGGAAACCCTAAGTCTGTGTAAACTTTCATTAAAATTAGTTAAAAAAAAAAAAGAATCATACAACAGATAAAATAAACATCACATGGGTTTTTTTAAAGCAAACCTTTGACTGAAGTCAAATGAGGAAGAAGTCCGGAGCCCACCACAGCCCTGCCTTTGTATACGCGGCAGCTCCTAGGACTGAGGCACCTGAGAGAAACCCCAGAGCCCCTCTGGGCACAACCTTGAACTAGAACTATGAAGCAAGAAGCAGCCAGGCAAACAGAACCTACAGGGTCTGCGTAGTAGTGGCTCATGGCTTTCTGTAGCTGGTAAGCGCTGCTCTCATCAAGGGAGGGACAGGAAGAGGAGGAAGATAGGGTGCTTTCTCTTTAAAGACAACTTTGGCTCCAGCACCCCTGAAAAGGGAGTCAGCCATCTAGGTCAGGAGCTCATAATAAAGCCCTGGGTGAGGAACATAGCTGGGGGTGCAAATGGGAGTGAGGATCACAATTGTAGGAGGACTAGAACCCTCCAGAGTCAAACTGAAATCAACTGATAAAACAAGGGTTTATATCCTGAGAAGATGGCAAAGCACAAGACAAAATGCAGCTCTTCTGAAGAGCTCCCATTGTAGTTTTGGGTAAGAGTGACCACTGGTGTTTGGAATATCTCATTTCATAGTAACTCCTTAGCACAGAACCCTGGTATAATAAATTAAGCATCATCTTAAACATGGAAAATGGTAAAAGACCCATGGCTCTTATGACTCGGGCTTTTGTTTAGATACAAATGAGTTAATCTGCAATGATGACAGAGATTATAAAAGTCATTCCCTACGCAGAGAGTTGGGGCCTTATCAAGTCACAGAAAGTGTTCAGTTCTATGTATTTAACAGAAACAGACCCACACCTCTTCCCAAAAATGTCTAAAAATGTGAAAAATTCTCAGAAATCTACATGACCTCCTAAATCAATTCCACATAAAAATGAAAAGGACGAGGAAAGGAAATTGAGACATCCTAGCCAGTGTTTCCCTTCCTAGCAGAAAATGCTTATCTGTGACTACTCAATCACTTATTTCCACAAAAATTGGACCTGTTGACCAGGACAATGAATCCAAAACAATTCTACCCAAATTCCAGTCATTTCCAAGAATATTTCATTTCTATGAGGTATTTATTTACTGAACTGCTTATTTCATAAGCCATTCTGCCTCTAACCACAAGCAGTACACAATGAAACAGCAAGGTGACAGAAGCCGCACACATCTCCTACCCGAGAGCGCCTGTCGCAGGCCGAGTACATCCTCGTCCGCCGATGCTCGCCGGGCTCTCTCCTTGTCTGCCACGGCGCTGCTCTGCTTCACAGCCAAAGCCTGCAAGTGACTGCATTCCCTCCTCAAGCGCTCACATTCCTCAAGGACTTGTCTCTTTTCCATGTTTAGCAGTTCTTGTTCTTGCCTTAAAACGTCTCTGTCATTCTCTGCAGATGATAATTTTTCATTTATGCCTTTTACTCTGTTCTCTAGTTCTTCCATTTTTTGGGTACACTCCACTTTTTCTGTTTGTAATGCATGAATAGTTTTCTGCATCTCATGAATTTTGGGGTGATCGGTTACGCCAACTCCCGAGCCAGCTAGAAAACAAACACAAAAGCCATGGCATCAAATGTCAAGTACAAAGGCATAAATGGCTTGCTGTATGCCATATACCAAGAGACTCAACAGACATCAGATCATAAAATGCCTAAAAGAAGTCACATCCCGGTAATCACCTCGAGCCTTTTGCCACTGCGTCTATTCCAACTCACAGTAACCCCACCTACATCAGAGCACAGCTGTGCTCTATAGTTTCCAATGGCTGCTTTTTCTGAAACAGAGCGCCAGGCCTTTCTTCCAAGGCACTGCTGGCTAGAACTGAACCTCCAACTTTTCGGCACTTGTATTATCCAGTAAGACTCAATAATAAACTAAGTATTCTTAAATACAAAGTTGGGAGAATATATTATCTTAACTCGTTATCTGAGTTTGCAAGAAAGTGAAAATATTTCTCATCATTTGTTACTAAACTATCGTCTCCAAAAATGCAAAGAAATCTGTGCATTGGGTTTTTTATACAAAGGCAAAAAAAGACTTTCTATATCTGCAGAATCTTGAAAACAATGGTTGCTACTGTCAATTCCTGGCACAGCTAGTAATTTATACACTCTTTAAACTTTAGGACATATCTGCAGTCATAACCTGGTCTTAAGAATACTGGACGTACGTATCTCTTAATTATGTCATTCCATCTATTAAAAAAGGAGCTCTGGTGGCCTAGTGGGTAGAGCATTGCACTGCCAACCCAAAGGCAGCATCTCTCTTTTGGTTCAGATCCATCAGCGGTAAGAGAGAAAGACGGGCAATCTCCTCTCATGCGATTTACAGCTTCCAAAGACTAGTTTCATATCAGCTATGAGTTGGTTCCAGTGCAATTGCAATGAAAGAGAGATCTGTTAAAACCATGAATAAGTAAGTAACCTTGCTGTAAAAGAGTCTCAAGTTCTTCAATTCGTTCTTCATAATCACTTAATTCTTCTCTATGCCGACGAGTTATTTCTGCCAATTTCTGTTGATGTGCATTCTGCAATACTGACATTTCATGCTGATGGACGTCAAGATCTTGGCTTTGGTTCTGTTTAAGTTCCTTAAAAAGTAAAAAAAAGAAAAAATACTTTACCATAAAAAAGAAAAAAAGCTTAAGCATAAAGTTAAACACATTTATGATCAAAGAGTTTCTCTCAGCTATTTATGTCACTATTGTCCAAAAGCTATTATAATTCTCTGTATATATTAAGACAGGAAGAACGTCAATGCAGGCTCCAAGTTGGGAAGTTCTGAAAAGCTCTTCCCCTCTTCCTCTTTGTGGTGCTCAGAAGAGTTTGTCTCTTGATAATGAGGAGTCAACGGCAAACAACTGAAAAGTGAGCAAAGAACCCCTCTGTCTCGCGTCCCACGGCCAGGAGTTTAGCTTCCTACTGACGACACATTCCACAGACATCACTGTCAACCAGCTGGCCCGTGGGCACCTGCTGTCCTGCTGCACTTCTATGCCTCTCATCTCTTCAGCCTTTCCTTCCACTGATCTTGACAGGACCCCCAAACTGGCCACTGTCTCTGCACCCAAGTTGAGAATGCACCTCTCATCCCAGAAACAGGAGTAGGAACAGAGCACCATTAGGCTGTACCCTGAACAGACTGTGCACTGTGTCCGTCTACCTAGATCCCAGACAAGGTTCCCATCCCTTCCGATCCTGAGGCAGAGGGATAAACTCCTCCTGCAGAGCTGTGCACGGCCCTGGGACCGTCCAGTATGTCCTTTTAATTACCCAGAGGTGATTTTTGTTGTTTATAACCAACTACTCTGTAAAACAGCTTGAGTTTCCTGAAAGCAAATATTAAAGTTCTTCTTTAATGATGTGCCAGGTACTGGGCTAAGAGATTCACACTGAATCTCTAAAACAATCCTATAGTGTAGGCAGGATGATTCTCTTCACTGCTGAGAAAATGGGTATCAGAATGGTTACGAAACTGGTCAAAAATAGCACAGATGAAAAGAGAAGAGAAAGTATTAAAACTCAAGTCTTAATATGTAACCCAGTCACTCTAGAGAAATAACAAGAAAGGCAAACTGAAAAACCTATACCTGATAATAATGTCTCTTTCTCATTGCCATCAAATCAGAAATTGAATATTCAAAGATGCCCCTGCAATGGGTTTTCTGAGGCTATGAATCACTTGAGAGAGTACCTAGCTTCCTCCCAGAGCTGTTGAATTATTGGGGTGTTTTTTTTTAGATTTTAATGAAAGTTTATAAAGAACTTAGATTTCCATTCATTCAGTCAGTCAGTCAGTCAGTCATTGTTGCACATTTTCCTCCCTATCCCCTCCCCACCCAGTTCACTTTTTTCTTTGGAAAAAAAGTCCTTTCACTGTTATATAGTGGGCATCCCCCTCACCCCCCCCCCCCACTTCACTATGCAACTCTTACTCTGGACTCTTGCCAACTGTTGGTGAATTTTAAAGTGGCCTGCCCTTTGGGTTATCAGTAGAATGATGCCCTGTTGACTATGCCACCAGAATTCCTTTTATTAATCTAAGTTTTCAGTCTGTGTGCTGAGCAAATCACTCGACAGGCTAGACTTTATGATGACGAATGTGGCATCGAGATTGGAAGAAGACTTATCAACAACCTGCATTATGCAAATGCTATCACCTTGCTTGCTGAAAGCAAAAAGGACTTGAAACATTTGCTGCAGAAGATTCAAGACTATAGCCTTCAATATGCACTGCACCTCAACATCAAGAAGACAAAATCTTCACCAATGAGCCAAAAGACAACATCCTGATAGGTGGAGAAGAAACTGAAGTTGCCAATGACTTCATCTTATTTAGATCTATAATTAACACCCTTGGTATCAGAAGTCAAGAAATCAAAAGATGTACAGCATTGGGAAAATCTACTAACAAGGGCCTCTCCAAGGTCTTAAAGAGCAATGATGTCAGTTTAAAATCGAAGATGCACCTGACTCAAACCATGGCCTTTTTAATTACTTCCAATACATCCAAAAACCGGACAATGACTAAGGATGACAAAAGAAGAATCGATGCCTGTGAGTTGTGGTGCTGGAGAATACGGAATATTCCATAGACTACCAAAAGAACAAACATGTCTTGGAAAAAGTGCAACCAGGGTGCTGCTTAGAAGAGGGGATGGTGACACTTCGTCTTACATATTCTAGCGATGTTGTTAGGAGGGATTAGTCCATGGGAAGGGCAATGATGCTTGCAAGGGGGGAGGAACAGAGAAAGAGGAAACCCTCAGCAGGAAGGACTGACACAGAGCCTCTAACAACAGACTCTACTCCATCAGAGATAATGAGGATGGCACAGGATTGAGCAAAACACAGATCTGTTGTTTACGGGGTCGCTACTAGTGTGGTCAGCCCAATGGCACCTAAAAACAAAGCAGGCCTACGCTTTTAATAAGCAAGTTTGAATGTCCAAAAGGCAACTTACCAATTGTATGCCTTACCTTGATGGTATTTTGCAGTCTGCAGATCACACTTTGATCAGGGCTATTTGCTGTCTAGGTCAGAGAAAGAGAATTGGGATATATTGTTTTCTTGTAAAAGACACAAACTAATTTGCTTGTTTTTCAGTTTTCATTTTTTTTTTTAAAGAAGCATTTTTTAAGATCTATGTTTTGTAAGTGTTTTCAAAGTCTAATCCAATGGTGAGTGATATATAATAAACAAATTCTTTTCAAAGTTTATTAACTACTTGGGAAGATAACACTTTTACAAAATAACCAGAGAAGGAACAAAATTACACAACATTTTATTTAGCTTAACAAAACTTAAATTTTATAATAACCTAGTTATCTTTCTAAAAGGGAAATTCTATTCAGAAAGTCAACCAGTATTAATAACCCATAAAATAAAATTTAAAAAACCTTCTTTACCCAGAAGGTCTCTACTTCAGATAAGAAAAGCCTTTGGTTGACGAGTAAGCAAAAGAACATTTGGGTTCTTTTTGCCCTCATCCAAGGGTGTACATTTTTCATTTATCTTTACTACCATTTACTATAAACCAAAAGCCCAATCTCACTGCTGCTTTGATTCCAAGTCACAGCAACCCCATAGAGAGAGGTGAGCTGTCCCTCAGGGTTTCAAAGGCTTTAAGTCTTTATGGATAAGATTATATCCCAGTCAACAGTGTTTATTTGCATTTATTTTGGGTTTCATGTCTATTGACAAGGAACTCTGGTGGTGAGTGTTAGGTGCTGCCCTGAAAACAAAGAGTCTGTGGTTCAAATACACCAGCTGTTCTCTGAAAGAAAGATAAAGCAATCTCCTCCTGGAACCTCGAAAACCTGATGTTGGGTCACTGCTAGTTAGAATCGATGAGCAGTGGCTCGTTCTACTAACAACTTCAAGAGTATATAAAATCTGACATAGATGGCAGAAACAATTCCTAGGGAAAGTTTACAGCTAAAATTATCAAGAATTAATAAGGTACAAAACCTCTAGCTATGGGTTTATCTTATTTTCTATTACCAAGTATCAGAGCTTCACTTTACACATAAGGTGAGCTGACAGGAAGCTGCGCATGCACCCGGCATGAATCCAAACCTGACGCCTGGTGTCCCAGCGTGTTCTACATAGAAAGTCGGCACAAGGGCTCTCAGAGAACAGGACTTGTTCAACCAGAGCGATTCCACCGTAATCGCCTTTCATCCTAAACTTAAGTTTATTCTGGGGGTTGGAGGTAATAATTCCCACAGGTTCTTTCACATTTCCTAAATTTAAAAATTTTAACATTTTCCCCAAATATTACACACAAGAGAGAGCGAGGTCAAGGCAAGTGAGATAACCTGACCAAAATTACTTAGCAAAGTCACTGGCAGAATCAGAATGAGAATGTGGGGTTTTTATTTCCTAATCCAGGGTTCTTTCTGATATGAAAAGCTACTGCATGTATGGGAAAAAGGACAGATGGAAATGAGAATCACAGTGAGAGAGCAGGAAGCGTGCTGTCAGCCCCTGGGAATTGTGATTAATATCATAAAGCAAAATGTTTTTCGATATATGAACAGAAATCAATTTGCTATGTAAACTTAAACACGGCAGTCTACATATCATTAGTACTTTTACTCATTCCTGGTTTTCAAACCTCAGGAAGATGTAATTCCCACCTGGGCAACACGCCTCCAGTGGTCAACTTCCGACTCAAGCTTGGAAACTTCATTTGACAACCTGTTTATTTCTTGTTGGGACCAGATCACATCACTGAAGTCCATGTCATCACCATGGAGCGCTGAGCCATGATGGCCGACGCCATACTCAAAGGAAGACGCTGCAGAGGCTGACGGCCTCCCACCGGCTCCCGGCGCCGCGGACTGAGTGGCCGACTGCAGCTTCAGCAGCTGGTCCTGCAGCGCGATCTGCCTGGCCTTCAGATGGGTGATCTCCACCTGCACGTTCAGAAGTGAAGCGTAAGAGGCAGCACCAGAAAATAACCACACTGGCTACCATTTCAAAGACCCGCTGAACTGAAGTCTGAATCACGTAAGACTAGCCAGTGCTGGTACTGAGTCCACGTCTTCCAGGATGTCCTAAGCAATAAGATTTTTTATTCCAAACTCAGCCGTGATCACCATACTTAAAAGCAAACCACTTCAAGGACTACAGAGAGCAGCATTTCATTCTGTTGGCAGCTACACCAATGAATTCATTGTGCATTTAACACTAGTTTTCTTTCATCTACAGGGTAGTACAGACTATTTCTTAGGACGAAAAATGAAAGCTGGCCGAAGTTATGGATCAGAACACCTCTTGCTGAAAGAGTCCTAAATGTAGCTGATATAGCTGGATTTATGCTTAAAATACACTATGAATCAGAGGCAACTTTGTATCTGTCCACATAATACTGGCTGGAAGAAAGCTTTACTAATTACTGTCAGTTAAGACAGCACAGTGAGTCCACGGTTGTTAGCTCAGTCTTAGAAGGCAGCTCTGGTGGCTTAGTGGTGTGCGGCTATGATATCGGTCCAAAAGCAAGGAAGGAATGAATCCACTAGCTGCTCTGAGGGAGAAAGATGGGCAGTCTCCTTCCCTGTGATTTACGGCCTCTGAAAATCCACAGGAAGGTCCCACAGAACAGTAACAGCTGCCTTAGAAGGAAACCATGTATTAAAAGAGGTCTTCACCTTACCTCTGGCAGAGAGATCAGTAACCGATCATACTAAAAAAGGCAACAATATAAAAATTCTGAAACCCTAAGCAGAGTTTGAAGGGAGGTTGGCAATTTCAAGTCATGATCAAAAAGAAGCTCCCAACAAGAGACCCACCAGACTGCCTCATCCATTCCTAGGAAGAGAGTGCTCAAACAGGAGCATGAGTGAGCTAGAGAGAATGGAACCAAGCTATCTGGGAAGTCCTCAGCCCAGAAAATACCCTGCCACAATGGAGAAAAAAATGTGAGGCTGAGCAACAGCCAACAAGCAGTACTATTTCTGAACAATGTCAGTTAAGCAAGAAGCAAGTGTTAAAGCCAGGGCATAAAAAATGGGTTTTTAATGTAATGTTTATAGTGATGTGCATCAATTTTACACATTTCTTATAAATTACATGGAGTCAACTGTATCTCCAGGGGAATAAGAACATCACAATTAGGGTCGATTGTTGTTGGTGACTGCCATCAAGTTGAGCATGACTCATAGCGACTCTACGAACAAAAGGCTGAAGCCTTTCTATAACTATCAACATTATCAAAGTTCATAGAGTTTCCATGAGGCATGTTGTTTAGGAAGTGGACGCCAGTCATGCTTCCAAATAGGTCAAGAGTCAAGTAAAAATGGTTTGTGCACTCAGGGACCTCCCTGTTTCCCATGTCCTTGCATTATGTGATACCTCACTTCCCTTTGAATTAGACAGGACATGATACTTTACTGCTTGTCCCCTTTGTTACACTATTGACAAAGACATTTCTTTAGGACCCCTCTTTTCAGAGAGAAAAATCACAACACCATTTCCTTTTGACATGAATATTCCATCCCTTTGGTAATTTTAGACCATTTTCTATTTGGTTTTCATCCTATGCTGGTTCTGATTCTGGGATTGGCAATGGGTTGGCCAAGTAACTGGACAAGCTATTAGGGTGGTAAATATATTGAGAAAATAGGTAATTTATTCATATGTTACCTTTCATCTTAGTAAAAAGTACTGAAATATATATCATCATCAAAAGGAACTAT